ACTTACTCTGTGCCAGGAGCAATTCAAAGTGATCAAGACCTCTCAGGGGCTTTATTGAGCATCTACTATGAGGTAAGCGTGTCTAATACATCCTTCCACAGCACTTACTCTGTGCCAGGAGCAATTCAAAGTGATCAATACCTCTCTCATCCCCATTTTAGGGATGAGGAAGCCAGCACACAGAGAGATTATGTGACTTCCCCAAGGTCACACAGCAGGAGAGTGGCAGGGGGCAGGAGACTGACCCAGGCATGTGCAGGCAGCCCTGAACCATCTGCCACATGGGAACAGCATCAGCAGCAATGGCAACAGCTAAGGGTGAGGCCTAAATCCCAGAGAAACTCCCCAGCAGGCCTGGCAGGTGGGGAGTCGGAGGTCACAGGAGGGTCCTTCACTAGGGGAATGGGATGAAACAGGACCCAAAGGTAGCACACTGGGGAAACCAGGGCGATGGTCAGAAGCCACACACTGGAAAGAGGTAGCCAGAGAGGTCGGAAAACTGGAACAGACTGGGGAAAAGGAGAAATGACGGGGCTGGAACATCCTGCCCTTTACCTAGAGTACAAACTCACACGTGTCCACTCTCTGCCATGAATCTGCTCTCTGCTGTGTGCCTGCTGTGTCACCTCCTGCACAGTCCTTTAGCTCCTCGTGCCTCGATTTCCCCAAACGTAAAGAGGGGATGAAATGAGCACTGACCTGAGAGATTCTCAGAGCAGAGCTTAGCACATCATTAGTGCTTTACACGCGATTATTAAATTGACAACCACTCCATACTTTATAAGGCCATATACACGCACATTGCTCAGGGATGTGGATCCTGCTGTGGGGTGTGGGGAGAGGTGTGGGAAATGGGGATGAGGGGAGCAGCACATGCTGGACTCAGAGGGGCCCTGTGTGGCCTAGGCAGCGCACTGTGAACCCTCTGCAGCACAGATAGAAATGAATTACAGACAAGGAGATAAATAACCCTGTGCGATGGCCCTGGGCCCCACGCCTGGGTGATGTAGTCTGTCACCCAGCCCCACCACACATTCCTG